CATACAATTTGTAATATTTTGTGTCTTTGGATTTGAACAAATAATTATTGGTATTGAAATGTAGTGAAACGATGTCAGGTGCATTCAATGTGAACAGCTGGCCATAGAAGCCCGCCTCCCAGGTACATTATAATCGCGTGCACATCGACTTCACATTTAGATTTTAATTCATAAGTAAGCAGCATTTGTTCAGATTGTTATTTGTGGCAATTGCCAGATGAATAATGTTGTTTTCCTTTTTTTTTTTTGTGCTTGATACTTTTTATGTTCGTTGTCTTCATATCAAACCATAGTACATATCACAATTTTTTACTTGTTTAAGTATTTTGTCTGGCATTCGTTTTTTGTGAACAAAATGCCACATGGTAAACAGGATTATAATGAACTTAATTTTCTAAAAAATTCTAACATGTACATAAAGTGCATTTTCATTAATTATGATTTATATCTACATTGCTATTATTGAATAATTTTTGTTAAATTAAGTTAAAAATTTGTAATTATGTTCAGCTTTTACAATAACTAAATAATTAATGAAACAATATTATTACTATTATTATAAGTATTTTATTCATACTCTTATAAGAAGTTTAAGAAAAACATAAGCTTTCCAAATATTTTTGTTGTTTGCTATTAACTAACTCGTTAAACGATTTGCCAATTTCATTTTGAATCTTCCATCTGCATGATATCTGCGGTTGACCACAGCTCCAAGTAACCTGATGATAATAAATATCAATTTCATTTTATAAAAAATTAAATGAAAACACTTACGCATTCGTTATTTATACTACAATTGATTGTAGTGAAAAAAATTGTTTTTTTTATAACAAAAATGAAATATAAGTATTTGAAGCTACTAGTCTACACTGGCTTGACTTTCAACAATTTTTTGTGAGAATACAAATACGTCATCGTCATCGTCAAACGCCTGCAAGACATCGAGATACCCATAAGGACCGATCGATCTACATATATGGCGGTTCTTGAGGACCAAATGAGTAAAATGTCATTAATTACTAATTGGGTACACTATCTTACAGAGCAATCTTATGCAAATAAAAATATACCCTTCTAACGTTGCTGCTCTATATATTTTTTCGTCTCAAAAATAAGTAAAATCTCTTTCTTTTTTTCGTTTTCAGACAACTGCAAAACCCATATAATAATTTTATTAATACTGTTGCGAATTCTAATTTTGAAGTCTCATGTAATGAAACGTAGTACACAACATAATTGCACAGTTCGTGTCATTGATTATGCAATTTTTTAGCAATGCAATGCGGACACTGTCCACATATGATCCAGCCAGTTCAATGTCATGAAATATAATTTGAACAATTGGGGCAGCAAAGTATTTATAACTCAAATCTTTGAACTATAAGAATTTCACAACGTAATAAAAGATTTAAATATTTGATTTTAAAATAGATATAAAGAGTGTCGAATTATCAATTGTTCTCGATTTATCTGATCAAGGAAGTAACTTCTCCATACAAAGTAGTCCAAAGGAATAAGGTCATTTGATCATGGGGCCAACCGGAAGCAAAGAAATATAAGCCAACAATTCCACCAGCCCAAAGTTACAAAGCAAAGCTTTTAATTATCGAATAGGTTGATAGTAAAAACCATATCGCAAACTTAAAAGTCTCACCTTTAACAATAGCTTAAATTTAGTTATAAACTATTAAAGTAACTTTAAACTAACAACAAAAGATAATAATTTTCAAATTTTCAAAATAATAACAAGTCCGTAAAATAATGTAAGAATATATTCAAAACCTTCTATTAAACAATCTTAATACTAAAATATTATTATAATATTTTTATAAAATTGAATTTATTTTATAGAATAATTTTATCTTTATCACCATAGCTATTTAGCTCATTTAAAACCTTGACTCATAACACAACATTAACACATTCTTCTTGGTTTTTCTCCTTTGTTTTTCAGTATGCGGCAAGATCACAGATGTCACTCTATCTTATTCTTTATCTTCCTAGCTTTTTTGTTATTTTAAATTCGCTTTACAATATTTGTGTCCTTTCTTTAAGAATAAGTATACCATGTTGTATGCAGTCCAAGTATTTTCAATTTTTTTTACCTTCCATTAGCTGATTAATTTCATAGTTATACCTGCTACGATATATTTCTTTTCCTGTACCGTCCCAAATAATGTTCGCATTATCTTTCTTTCAACTACCATTAATCTGTATACTTCTGTATCTAATAATCCCTAGGTTTCACACCCGCAAGTTATTACTGGACGTATTATTGTTTTATATAATATCTTCTTCAAGTTCAATTATTAAATTTACCATTTCTTAATATGTAGTAAAAGACCTTCTCTGGTGAAATAATTGCTTTATAATGTATGTACGATAAATTTATAATTTTGTTGAAATAATGAAGATAGTAATCGTTATATAAATTAGTGAAGACAGTTTTTGATGAGAAATCATTGTTGTTATTTTAATTTTTTTTAAGAAAACCTTCGAAAATCATAAAAAAAAATTTTTATTCTTAAATATTATAAATAAAATTAAATAAAAAATTAAATAAAAACAATTAGCCTTTAAAAGTATTAATTGTTTCTCATCAAAGCAGCCTTTAAAAGTATTAACTGTTTCTCATCAAAGTAGTGTCTAAATATACTTTTTTTTGGATCCTTCATAATATATACCGTCTTCAAAAGTTTTCCAGATTTCATTTCCACATATTTTTCGTCAGCACTTTTTTCATAATTTTTTATCTAGCTATGCATTTAATCTATATGAAAGTATTATACCTATTTGTTGATTTTAAGTAAAATAATAATTTTTAAAAATAATTTTAATATAAAAAAATGAAAATTTAATATTAGTTTTATCAAAATTAAGTTCCTTTTTTTCTAACTGCAAAGATTAAATCCTCATTTAGCATATAAAATATGTTAGAGAAGAACAATAAAAAAGCTGCTTGTATAAAGCATGCAAAAACATTTCCATCTACATATACTAAAAAATACTTAGCATTCCTTTTATCTGTAAATATAAATACTCTTAATATTAACACTTATCTATTTACATAATTACAACTTCCTGAATAGTTTCTTGAAAAATTCATAGACGTATTACAGAGGAAGGCGGCTACTTTATTTAAACTAAATCATATTGTGGGTCGCTGGGTGACTAGTGCAATGTGTAGGATTTTATTTTAAGAAGTAAATGATAAAATAGCTTTTAATACAATTTTATTTGATTGTCATTAATGTATTCTTTTATTTTTATTCATTTGCATTCATTAGCTTTTTTAAGTATCGCATAAAAAGCAAATGTACGCGTGGGTGAGCTAATGTATAATTCAGTTTAGTTTTTTTTTTTGTTTTAGAGCTACTGCAATCCGATATTTTTATCTGTTTTTAATGTTATACGATATTTAATGACGTTGGTGACATTTATTGTTATTTTGTTTTTATGATCTTTGCATTTTAACGCAATTGTGACTAATTTATTTGAGTCATTACATGGTTTTGTTGGTCAAAGGGTCTACACAATTCAATTTATATTTTAACAGCTTATAAGATTACTAATTTAAAATGGATTTAGTTAAATCCTATTGCATAAACATTTTTATTTAGCTTTTTATGTTTTCCAAGAAATAAACTTATTTTCAATAAATTATTTTACTATAAAGGGTTTGGTTAGTCATTTATTATCTAATATTCATTTACATGATCATTAAACTTTTCTTTTTCAATGCAATTATTTAGCGAATATAGGTTTTTAAAGGTGTGCTATGTATTACCTAATATTGTTTATAGTTCTAGTATAGCAACTATCTTTTGTTCACATATAAAACGATTAACTATTTAAACTATAGGTATTAATCGGCGTTAGTAAATTTATTCACATTAAGGATTTATATAGCAATGCAATTTATTTAAGGAAATGATTCGTCCCTTCTTGTGAAATACAACTTTTAACTGCTTTTTCTTTGTCTTGAATTTTTTGTCTTGATATCATATTACCTCAAAGTAATAGTAACGTAGTCCTATGGTAGGAAAAGATCATTAAGAAAAGAATGAGAGAGAGAGGTTTATTTGTGCGAGTCCGGCACTCATTTTCCCGTGCGACGGATTGTGGTCATAGGCAAAAAGAAACTTGGTGTTGTATAGAGATATGTAGATTTCATATACAAATATATATATAAATATAAACATTAATAAACTAATCCGGATTGGATTCCGTTTTTCACAAAACTATAAGAATTTCACAACGTAATAAAAGGTTTGAAGATTTGATTTTAAAATCGATATAAAGTAAGTCAAAATTATCAATTGTTCTCGATTTATCGGATTGTGTTCAGTGCATAGGCAAAAAAAACTTGGTATTGTGTATGGACAAGTTGAAGCAGATTTCATATACAAATACATATACCTATAAATATAAACATTAATAAACTAATTCGGATTGGATTCCGAATGAATTCATTAGATCACAAATTATGATTAAAGACCTATTAGTTTTTCATTACTAATTTAAAATATCATATTATTTTTATAAAATATGTAAAATAAATATAAAGAGGTTTTCGAAAAGTAGTGAACTACAACAATAAAAATTTTTGCATTATTTTAATTACTTGACTTTTGGGCTGACCACACAGCTGTTTCGAGTATTACCAAATACCCATCATCCATGGTCTTAGAAATAATTCTTGTATTTAATTATTCGTAAATAATTTTTTTTTGAACCTGCAAGTACCAGGAATCGAACCTGCCAAATTGGAAGCTCAGAGTCAGCGCTTCTTAACCAACTGACCGAAAACCGTACTTGACTTTTATCTTGGCACATTCTTCTGGAGTTTTGTTAATCTGTAGATTGATTGAATTAATTACTTATATTTTTTATTTTTAATTTTAAATAAATAGATTTATAAATTTATTTTTATTTATTTTATTATGATTTATTTATTTTTTAATTATTTTTATAAATAATAAATTTATAATTATTTTCAGAATGGTTTTGTGAATTGTGAACAAGAAAGTTGTCCTTCTATTGATGATTGTTATCTACTAGATTCGAAAGCGCCTGATATTTGCTGCAGAAAATGTAAAGGTAATATTTATACTTTCACAATTAATATTTTATACGAACGATTTAATATAAGATCTCTGATATTGCAGGATGTATATTCAAAGGGCTTGCCTACGCAAGTGGTACTGAATGGACTGATCCAGAAGATCCTTGTAGAACTTTTAAATGTATTGCTAGTGTTGTCACAGAAACAACAATGAAGTGCTATACGCAATGCGATGATAATCAAGCGGCACCACCAAGACCAGGCGAATGTTGTCCCACATGTTTAGGTGAGTTGAATTATTTATTGAAAGATATATAAAGTAATATATTGTAAAATCCATTCTATAAGAAGTTATACAAATAAAAAAAAAATAACTAATTTTTTTTACATATAATAAGAATCCTTCTTCTCATTATACTTCTTTATTAACATTTGTGGAAATAAAAAATTTAATTTAAAAAATAATTTTATTTAAGAAACTTCTATTTGTATAAAGTAATTACGAAAAGTAAGATGTAAGTCATGACTTTCGTGTTCACGCATATTTTTGCGGTTTAAAGAAAAAGTAATAAAAAATTAAAATATATAAAATATATAAGAATAAAAAATATACGCTGACATACTCGTATTCATACTACATGAAGCACTAACTGACTTCTGCATCTTAACCGCAAAACTGATTGTGTTCAATAAACTTCTACTCGAATTACTTAAGCTAAGCTCGGTTATGGCACAAAGGCACTAGGCACTTTCCGAAAAGCCAGCGGCATTGTGAACTCCATCAGCAACGTCGACATTAAAAATCTTTGTTTACACAAGCACTGAACTGTGTGTTTGGTCCTCGATCTTTCGGTCAATTCGATGCTGCAAACTTTCAACGCTGGCATAACTAAAAACCACTTAAAGATCTACATAAGGGCGTACATGAACCTCTTTGCTACACACTTACTTACTCGTACATAAGTGGGCATACGCTTTCGTAGTGGCTTATGTGAGTAGTGAGCAAAGCCACTACGTATCTTTAAGATACGCGCATGCGCCATAATTTATGTTTTGTTTGTTTGGAAAGGAAAGGAAACATTTAAGCATGAAATTGAGATGTGTTTTTAAGTCAGTAATTTCCCTTGATTTAGCGAGGAACCAATTTGACTTTTAGAGTCATTAAGTTAAACAAAAAGTTATAAATAACTTGAAAGAAAAAATTAATAAAAAAAAATAAATATGCTTGTCATCAAAGAAAAAGAAATTTTAAAGAAAACAGGAGACACCCAAGTTGAGTTTGCGAAATAATGTAAAACGACAACAAACAAACAACGACATACCGAATTATTTCTAAAGCACCGTAAGACTTTTTTTACTGCTACTTCATAAAAACCAAATACACACCGATCGAGTTGTGAGGTCCAAATATACTTTCAAGAAGCCCTTAATGCCAACATCTAAAAAATGGAATCTAAAGAAGTAAACACATTGTCTGCCAGTCAACACCAACTACTTATTGTGCTACGAGCATTTAAAAGCAGATTACTGTATTTGATTTCTTTCAAAAATGGTAGTTGCTGGCATTACTCATAGGCCAGCTACAAATATGTTACTAAATGAATCATCCATCAAATCCTTATCTCATCTTACTGTAGGCAAAATCTTTGATAATACAGAATAAAAAATTTCACATATGTTTTGCTTTTACTAAAAGTATAAATTATCTGAAAGGGTAAGAGATGTTATTCTCTTCTAATAATAGAAGATGAGAAATAATATATATATATAATATATATATACAAAGCTTTTAAAAAAAAGCTATAATCTTGAGTTATTGCTCTATTTGATTTTAATTTAGTTTTAATAGCAAAATCTATTATTTAATTGATGAATTTCAAAATTGTTACGAATAATTTTTACTCTTTAACATCAACAAATAAACTTTTTAGAGGAACTTGACTGACCAAAAAATATAGTTCTAATCCGGATTTTATTAAAATTATATTAATAATATAGTATTTTAGTAATCAATTAATATATTCGACACATATTTTAATAAAAAAAAATTTGGTATTATTTATTAATAATTTGAGTGTTGAATAACCGACTTTAAGCCTGGTAAAATTAAATTTCATTTTAATAATATTGTTGTGAATATGAAATTTAAGTAAACTTTGAATATTTCTAAGGATGTCAGTTTGGTTAGAAAATAAGTTTTGATATATTATGGTTATTAGAAATATTGTGTTTAAATTTGATAAAATATAGAGTATAATAAACGATTACACTAAACTCAATTTAACTGTTTATATTACTTATCAGGATCCAGTGATCGCGAACGACCACATAAAACAAAGAACTGAACTTAATCATACGCTTTAAAAACTTTTTAAAGCTACATAAATAAACACTAATGGTTGAGATTCAATCAATTTTTTTTAAAACATTGCTTGAATTCTGATTCTTGAATTCTGCAGAAGATTTTGAGTACTTTATTTATTCAATATGATTTTCAGTAACTTATTGAGATATAGCGAACCTTAACGCGGCACTAATTTCACGGCTATTCTTATTCAAAACTTCGAAATACCAAAAGATTATCCACATAAACACACAATCTTACGCGTAACTCTACATAAATGTTAAGTAATTCTAAATCTGGAAATCTGAAAAGTTCAGTAATGACAAATCGCATGATATTGGCAATCAATTAACATCACGACCGTGAAGTTTCGCATCCAACAAAACCAAGTTGGAATAAATTATTTAGCTTTAGGAAGCCACACATCTTCCACACTCATATACCTATATATCTCTGCTTTTGATATAATAATTTGTTTTTTGGCATATCCAACAAGAAACTACCTATATGATGCCTTTATATTTAAATTCCTTCATCAACCACATATTTCTGATGGCAGCCCATTAGATGTGCTGTAACTCCTAGGAACAATAGTGGCCGCCTCATTATTTGAATTAAAATCTTATAAGACATAGTTATTTTATTTGTATATAGCATTGTTACTTCCAGCCGACATTTCTTACATTTGCTGGAAATTGGCTATCTAGTAAATTGGCTAAAATCTAGTAAATAACAACAATGGGGCGAATGTGAACCATACTAATATATTCACCACTAATAATACTCAATGAATATTTTCCTGAGTAATAATATAGACAATTTTTAGAATAACTAAAGATTTAAATATATTTATTCAAACCAAAACTTATTACGATCATGTAACACGCTTACAAGTCGCTTTAATGTCGACTTGCAATAATATCTTCATTTCTAGACCTCTACAGACCAGATGTTATTTTTGACTTCAATCAATACACTTACAAAATAAAAATTACTTAGTAAATTACAACACTGCCCAATTTTTATGTGCCACCTCCCACTGCAATCCTAAAGATCCACCATCCGCCATCATTCTTGTAGGTAGATAATCGACATAAGGACAGAAGTTTTTGGAGATAGAAGTACTCAACAACTTCAAGTACTATTGTTATATATAAGGATAGGGGTTATTGAAAATAGTTCTTAAAGAACTGTGACTATACATCACTAAAGGAAGTTTTTTCCACACAATTTTTAATAGATGGCATCACTATAAATACCTGTTCAAAAATGTTGTGCTTATTTTAATCTCTACATTATATTCCTAATTTATATGAAATCTAGTTTCTTTTACTACTTTTTAAACATTTTATATATTTAATATATAATATATCTTTCAAGCATAAGTATTTTTTTCACTATGTGTACACCAACCAAATTCTAAATTTAATGAAATTTTGATAGTACGTCAGTGAAGAGAGGTCCTTCACCCTTTTGATTTCTATCATATTTTCCTATATATGGACTCAGTACATGCTTATTTTAAACTCTATCTTATGCTCACAATTTATATGAAGTCTAGCTTCTTTCACTGCATTAGAAACATTTTGTCAAACTTAATATATTAAACAGAAACAGATATATACAGACAGATAAACAGATATATATTCAAACAGAAATATATTTTTTGCTATGTGAATGCTAATTAAATGTAATCTGAGTTTATTTTTGTTTTATTTTGTTTGGTTGCATTTACTAGAGGATTTTGTCTAAGTACGTACAAAAAATTAAAAGAATATTATAATTTCCATACTATGAACAATACTTCCAATCTAACCGTATTCCATTCGTGCCGCCGGATTGTCACAAGGAATGATGGTTCCCAGAAGAAGAGAACAATGGAAACAATGTCTTTGAAAAACATGGTGTTGCCAATCCAATCATATTCCAAACGCGCTGCCGGATAGTCACGAGGAATGATGGTTCACTGGAAAAGAGAACAATAGAAACATTTAAAAAAACATGGTACTACCAATCCAATCGTATTCCAATCAACCTTCAACCGAGGTGCAGATTATCTTTCATTGGAATAAAGTTTAATATGACATATAGTTTTAATCTTCTACTTAATTTCCCCTTTGCTTTTATGCTTTTGTGTAGCAAATTAAATTATATTTGCTGTAGCCGATATCTGGTGCTGGAGTTATAACAGGCATTCGGACACAATACTAGACTATACTTAATTTTAATATTTACTACTTTTCTCAAAAAATCACAATAATTTAACAATCCTTTTTAAAATTTCTACTTCACTAAAAGACTGAAATACCTTTCCAATTCAGTTGTAGGGTTAAGGAACCTTGCGAACAAGAAAAAAATGTGTCTCTGTGGGCTAAGAAGTATTGTTACAACACAAAGGTGGTCTTCATTTGTTTTTTTTTCTGATTTAATTTGCAATTTATAGACAATACACGACCGATGTTGTGGCAGTGTTGTCGGGGAGGTCATTGTCGGAAAGGAACATTGCACAATTTTCACAAAAAAGAAAATTATTGCATTGATAACTTATTTTAATGAAGAGTACCAGTATGGCTACGAGTATAAATCTAATGAAAAAGGAATACATAATGGAGATTTTTATTGTGCTGATAAATTTACATAAACATGCATTTAATTAATTTATTTCTGTAGTTTGTTTTTTTTTTCTTGTGTCAAGTGCATTGATTTTGTTAGTACTAAAGTGGAATTTTAAAAGTAGTTGGTAAATTTAATTGGTTTTACTAAAAATCCTTTATCAAGATAAGAAGGAGTTAACGAGATTGCATAAATTTATTGATTAAAATCGAGACTGCTCTAATGACGTACTGCTATTTCTTATTTCTTAACATTGTTATCAAAACTTAAAAGCAAAATTAATTAAGAAATTCATGTACGAAAATATTTTAAAATTAATTTTATTTATAAAATATAAAACTGTTTTTCTTAAATTTAACTTAGGTTGTAAAATCAATGGACAGATTGTATCTGAAGGACAAGAAGTTGTAGCTTCAATTGATGATCGTTGCCTCGTATGCCAATGTACAGGAAACAAACTGACTTGTGCTAAAAAAACATGTCCTATTTTGCAATGTCCTATAACGAAACAGCGAAAAGATCCCAATGAATGCTGTCCTCGGTGTACCGAACATCGTGAATTTATGCCAGTAACGGGTAAGTAAAAAGAATATATAATTCCTTTAAAAATGTCAATCAAAATAAATGTAACTCATTTAGATAATTATTTTCATCTTCTTCTATTGTAGGCAAGTGCATCTTTAGCAACAAAGTGTATTATGACAAAACTCAATTCACACCAGATCGCTGTACAAATTGTACTTGCACAAATGGTACCTCCATTTGTCAACGTAAAACTTGTCCAATACTTGAGTGTTCACCGGAATATCAAGAAATGGATGGATGCTGTCCACGTTGCATTATATCTGAGGTGCGCAGTGAATGTATGCATAATGGCATCACTTATTCCAATAATGAAACTTGGAACTTAGGCCCCTGTCGGTCATGTCGTTGCACTAGTGGTAATATACGTTGTTCGGAGATGCGCTGTCCTCCCATCAAGTGTCGGACAAATGAACTGTTGAAAACATTACCTGGAGAGTGCTGCCCAAAATGCGTTGAATCTGCTGGTACCTGTACAGTATTTGGTGATCCACATTTCAAGACATTCGATGGCAAATTTTTTAGTTTTCAAGGTTCTTGTAAATATTTATTAGCGGCTGATTGTAGAGATCACAGCTTCTCTATACGTCTGACTAATGATGGACGTGACACAAAACGTTCATCATGGACAAAAACCGTAACGCTTAAAATGAAAGATGTACGTATTAATCTAGGACAGAAGATGCGTGTAAAAGTGAATGGCTCTCGTGTTGTTATGCCCTATAGCCAAGGTTCAATATTGAGTATAGAACGTTCTCCAGAAGGTATTTTGTTGAAAACAAGTTTAGGCATCAATATTGAATGGGATGGAAATAATTTTCTACAAGTTATGGTACCGGCAACTTATAAACATAAACTATGTGGTCTTTGTGGTAATTATAATGGTATTGGACGCGACGATCTAACCAGTCGCGATGGTTCTAATCATTCAGAGAAAGAAATATGGCGATTTGCAAATTCTTGGAAAGTTGGTGGCCCTAAATCCTGTTCAAGAAAAGTTGATAAAATTGCTGTACAACCTAGTTGTAATAAGCGTAAGTCCAATGCCTATTGTAAACCACTGCGAGAATCTGAAGTATTTGGAAACTGTGATAATAGATTAAATCCCAATAACTATATTGATTCATGTAAAATGGATGTATGTGAGTGCCCGAATGGAATGTGTCACTGTGACAGTTTTGCTGCTTATGCACATGAATGTCAACGGCTGGGCGTGCGCCTCCCAGATTGGCGCACCGCTACTAGCTGTCCACTGGGTATATGGCGACGTAATACAACGAATTTGGCTCTTTCCTTGAGTAGTAATCGTTACTACGGGGATATGAGCGTAGATAGTAACAACTTGCGACCATATCAACGCAAACAGAATCGTCGACGGAAACAACAACTACAGAATAACCAACTTTTACAACATGAATTTATGACAAAGCATGTTCCAAAAAATCTACTTATCTCTAAGTCGCCAGATAGAACACCTCCACCAATACATTAAGTTACATACCTGCCATGACTATTAATTGACATGGTTTCATCGATAAGCACATAATCTCATTGCGAAATTAAGAAAAAGAACGGAAAGCATATTGCTTTTTGGTAAAAAATTGTTATAATTTAAGAGTTAATTTATTTATTTATTTTGTTTATATAACTGAGATTTTTTAACTTTAATTTTACTTTTATATCTATATAATTTATTTCAGTGTACTCGTTTATCATTGTACAAACAAACATTATTGATTCATTTTGATTGCTCATAGGAGCGTATGCATGTACAGTTAAGTGCAATATAATAGACACAGATTATTTGACCTTAAAAGGATAAAAACATATTAAAGAATTTTCTATGTACCTTGGAAACAATCTACAATTTAGTTAAGGATTACTTTGTAGCAAAATTAATATCTGTATTGCAGATATAATACCCATTCATGCATCTATTGAATATCTCTTCATGAAGAATTCGACAGTCATGTATCAACTGACCAGTTCGCGAAAAGTGGTGATTAACATCATATATTGAACCCAAGTTTTCTGCGGAACATCCGCTACTAGATTCTATTTGCACTTATACGTATCTGTATTGATTAGTGTAAATAAAGTAATCCTCGTCTGAATATCTGTTCATGAAGAATTCAACCTTAGCTTATCAACTGACTAGCTCACGAAGAGTGGAAACTTAAGTTTCTATATTGGACCCAAGTTTTTCTGCGGAATATTCGCTTGCTAGATTCTATCAGCACTTATACGCATTTGTGTTGAATAGTGTAAATAAAGTAACCTTCGTTTAACCTTTCGCTCCTACCACTTTTCAAGGGTGGAATTAAAGGACACTGAAATCTGTATATCAGTGTTCAGTTTAGAGTAAAACCTTTTTCAATCTTACTTGTAATCGTCCAGTAAATTTTTCGAAACAAATCCTTTACCTTTATTTGATTTTTAATTTGTCGAGAGAGATTATGTGGATATTGTTACGTTCATTAATACGCTTAATGTATCCGAAAACTTCCTCTTGGGACAGCACAATAGTTTTCATTTGTAGTAATATTATATGAAAAAATTCTCTAAAATTTTTTTAATTATAACAAAATCAATTTTGTTTTATTTTGTTGAGGCTAGTTGAGATTCAGTTACAGGATCGGGCTTTAAATAGCATTTTATGCTTCGTAAAAGGTTCTAGGTGGTTTTAAACCCTGAGGTTTTTATTATTTATATACGGCATCACAATGGGTCAATAGGCCTAAGTGGATCCACTAGGGATCACCGGTATAACCTAACCTAACCTAGTTGAGTCAGTGGACTTGAGCACTTTTATTCTCTATTAACTCCGAAGTTTCTTCATGACCCCTCTCTACGTCTTGACTTGATTATTGTTTATCACTTCATCAAACTAAGCAATAATTGACCTTAGATATGTTTTAAAGTAATCTATTAAACTATTTATTTTAATTACAAATTTTTTCTAAAAATTTTATAAATACATTCTCTGAATTATTTTTTTTTTCATTATATTTAAAATTACAATCCTTCTAAGAAATTATGAAGCGAAATATCTCACATCCATGTAGTTTTCTTTTATAACATGTATTTTGTGTCCTTTATTTTGCACTCAACTGTTAATTAAAATGCAAATTATTTTTAGATAAGATTTTAAACGTTGGTTTTCGTACTAGGCATGCACGCATGCGCTGGCTGGCTGACGCATACGTGCACGTAAAAGACACGTTCCAACAATGAAAGTTCCAAGCTCACTTCTACTATAGAAGACTCTTTAGATTTTAATTGTATTTTAAGCGCATAAAGATTCATATTTCCGCACATATAAATTAACATATATATAGATTTATATTTACATATTATGTACATAAAAATAAACTTCTATCGTTATCGGCTATGTATTTTAACAGTAATTCTGCGACTACCAAGTTTGCATTCGGAAATATATCCAATATTTATTCAAAAAAAAACTCTTTTCTTTTTTTACTTTATATACTAAAATAGACAAAAGGCAAAGTTCCAAGATTCGACTGTGATATTTTATTATCAATTATTTAACAAAAAGATCACTTTTAAGGAACTTTGTAGATTAAAATTAAGAAAATGGAAAGTTCCATTATTCGAAACTGTAATATTTCAATTCCGTCATCTTTAAATGTTTAATATACATTTCATTGTACTATAATTCCTAGAGTCCTAAAAATTTATATTTCAATCCTTGAAGCTCTCATTACATTTACGTAGTAACCTAAAAGCAAAACTGTACAAAATTTCTCGTTTTGCAGTGCATTTCAAACTGTAATTTTTTTCAAACTCATATTGTTTATACCCATACAGAATTATAGCATAATTTATTATTATAAAAAATATTATTTATTCTTTAGTTTAAAGATTTATTAGTTAATTTTTTATAAGTACTTACGCACACTTATTTTAGCGTTGCACTTAAAGCTATTTGCATTGTATTATTAAAGTGAAATTATGTCGTAAACTAATCAAATAATTGCACAAACAGTATTTTTACTTACAAAATAATTTAATTTTAATTTACTTAATTAGTTAATAAATTAAATATAGGAAATACTAACTTAATATTAAACAGCAACAACAACAACAACAACAGCAAAAGAAAACACTATAACTCAGCACGATTCTGTAACAAGTAAAAAGTTTTTACCATGAACTTGGAAACACAATATTATCTGATCAATAATTCAATATAATATTAAATTTTATACAGAAAGCAAATGTAATAAAATTGGTTATTAAAGAGTAGTGATCGTCGAGAAATTCTTTGTATTATATATATATAAGTATATTTTTGCGTGAATCTTGAACAAGTGGTACGTTTCAATGAACTTATATTACTGACAGTAATCATTTCCGAGTTTCTTAACTCAAAATAAAAAATTGTGAGAAACTGTCTACAAATAATTCTACTCCATACACGCCTTTACCCGGCTCACAATTCATATAGTGTTAATACATCTGCAACGAAATATAATAATTATAATTATATTAATTATTAATATATAAATAATTATTACTATAATTATTATTGTTTCATATATAGTTATTATAATAATAATTATTATATTTACATTAATTTCATCAAACAAAACAGGAGACAGAAACTTCCCATATCGCTTATCGTTTTAGTATCCAGATACATTTTTTAACAACTCGAATAATATAGCGATCGAAACAGCTTAATGTTGATTCGCTAAACGATGTTAGCATCATGATGAAGCTCATATAGAGTATACAGAACAAACTGCAACTATAAGCTAATTATAAAGTTTATAGTTGAGGTAGTTGTTGTCAACTTGTTCATGAACAAAGTTCTTACGAAGAACTCTCGAGCACCCCTAATGCTGCTTCATCATTATATGATATAATTTAGATCATATAAGAGTGCAGGTCGAATGAGTATAAAATTTATTGTTTGATTGATAGCTGTATACTCCAGTTTGCTATTGAGTACATAGTAGCATCTATTATATGTGTGCTAATGATAGATTTTTTTATTCTCAAAAGTAAAGTCGTCAGCAAACTGTTCAGCAATCTTTAGAGCAATGCCCATTTCTGACAATAGTTAATATTTATTTTGCCGGCATTCAGCATTAGTTCCACTTTTAAAGATTTCTATTTGATATCGGTAAAGTAAGTGGGCACATCACGCTCTATATACACAGTCTTGTCAATATAACGAATATATATCAAGAGCTGGACACATTTGTAGAATCTGCTCAGCAATATATATAATATATGTAGAGAGTTCTTTGCATGATAAACACTATAACAACCAATATATGTTCTAATATGAAATATAAAATAAAAAATTAAATTTTGGAAATATTTTTATATAATATCATAAATATATATACCAATCAAATTGTTACAGAATCGTCTATTATAATATAAAAAAGCAACACACCATGTAAAATCTCATTAAAATATACTAATTTTATTAACAATTTTAAAAATTGTATTTAAATATATTCTGTAAGCATTTTATATAAATATATATGCAAACAATATAACTATTATAAATATATGCAAGCATATAATGTTATAGACACATACATATATGTAAACAATATATTTTCCAATTTTAATTGTATTAACTTTGATTTAATAATAAAACAAAAAAAAATATGAAAATTTAATGTAATTAACTTTATGAAAACAAGTGCTTTCTGCAAATTTTGCCATTTATATTATAAACAAAAAAAAATATATTAAAATTATTTATTGTAAATTTTATATTATATGTATAATTAATATATTAGAAATTTTGAAAATATTTCAAATTCATGACAAATAGAAATGCAAAATAACAACTAATTAAACTTCCTTTTGAAGTTAATTGTAAATTTCGTATTCCAAAAATACTTAGGAAAAAATATTTTAATAAATAAATAAAAAAACAAAAAAATTAAAATAAATAAATATCTGAATTATTCAAATTAAATGTTTGTCTTTTTTTCCAATATATAGTATAATTTTCTTTAATGATCATCGTACCAATAAAACTTCTCTTCCTATCTGGCACTACAGTCCAGTGTGAACCTTGTCCTCCCTTACGAATAAAACTATAAAATATAACTTAGACATTGATGTAGTTACATTTCGCGATGGATATGAAAAAACACTTAAAATTTTTAGTTTAACTCACTTTCTGAACTGACTATCACTACCTTAAAATTTTCAACCTCGGGAAAAGCTTTATTAATACGGTCTGTTTACCGATATCTTATCATGTTCACAAAAATCAACAATATCTTTGATATTGTATATGAAATCAGCACTTGAATCAATCTTCTAGACAATATTAGTCGTGAATAATTACGTATCCTTTTAGATTTGGAGAAAGAGTCTACGCTCTTGGTTCCACATGTTAAGTATTTAAACACGCTCTTATCCAAACCACCATTCTGATCAATTCTGATTATACTCCATTTTAGAGTATGCTCTTTTAATTCATAGTTGTTTATCTGATCTATTTTCTGAGAGTTGTAGTTGTAACTAAGCCAGAGGACTTAACCCTTAAAATATGACGAAATACTAGTGACATTATTCATCACTTCTACAATATACCA